TAAAGGGACAGATAGTGTGGGAAACCCAGGCTAGATCCTGCTCACACGTTCTTGAGTCAATAGATCGAGCCCCTCCTCTGTCCCTCCACAAACAGCCTTTGAATCTGCTGCTCAGATCAGAGGCTTCACTGGGCGTGTGTTCTCACCGCTCGCTCATATCACCTGCTCCTCGGCCTCAAATCTACACCGAACATCATTGAGTGAGCATGTGCCGCAACATCTGCAGCAACCCTGACATTGACCGTTTGAATGAACCGTTTGCGTTGTATAAAAAAGCTTTTTGGAAATGTATTGCAGGAAATATAATATAATATAAAATTATATAGAGAGATTGATCTGCACACAATCCCACCAACACAAACAAACACGGAGGCATGTGTGCAAAACACGTTTCTGCATGCCACAGTATATTTATACATGCAAATAGACATTCACTGATAACCTCTCATACACAACAGGCTGAAATTCATATGCAGGAAGACTACAAGATGGGTTCAGTTTAGAGGGGAGAATATTTAAATAATAATAATAATAAATGTTTTATCTATAAATTTTTTATTCATTACATTTTTTTTAAATGTTACAGATAAATTGTTTTTAATACATACAAAAGTTTGTAACTGTTCAGATTAACACTTAAAAAAAAAAACCAACAACATATGTTTTAATAGTTGTTACTAAACTGAACATTTTAACAAAATCTTAAATAATAATAATAATAAATATTTTATTTATTGATTTTTATTCATTAAATAAATGAAAAAATTCAAATAAATTATTTTTTAATATACATGATTTTTTAATTCGAATAGTTTTTAATAAATTAAACATTTTTAATAACTATTCAAATATTTAAGATTACATTTTTTCAGTTTCATTTACTGAATATTTTTATTGATTAAAAACTGTTTCAAAAGTTAACATTAATTATTTTTTAATACATATACATGTTTGTAATAGTTTTAATACATTGAACATTTTAATAAATATTTAAAATAATACTACATATTTTTATAAAATATTTGTATTTATTAAAAAGGGTTAAATTATTAAAAACTGTTTATATATTATTATATATTTCATTTATTAAAAATAAATAATTTGAACAGTGTCTTGCTTTTGAAGAAGAGACCACAATTCAACAATTGTTTTTTTGACAGGAAAAAAAAAGGGCTGCTTTCCTGTTTTCCCTCTTTTTTTAAGTTTTAATGACCACAAACACCCTGGCAAGACTCAAGGGGTTTCAATGGGGCAGAAGGTATCAGACAATGTCACAGTTTCGCACTCTAACTGCCTCTTTTCATGCGTCTGTGCTGTGAATGCCAGAGCATGTGATGCTGGAATGTCATTGAGCTCCTCTCACATCAAGACCCGAATTCCTGTCCGGCGAGGAGAGGTCAGGGGCTTCCCAGCTCCCCGTTTTTATGAAGAGAGGGACACTTCACACTGGGCACACAGCGCTGAGCATCTGCTTCCCTCGCTGTGTGTGTGTGTGTGTGTGTGTGTGTGTGTTTGTGAGAATGAGAAGAGTGTTGGACAGGGGGGCGCCCACATTCAAAGACCCTTTTGCAGAGCAGGATGGAAAGTATTGAGGCTTTACCAGTCAAAAGTGGCATTTTGCAATATTATTTTAATGGGCATTTAATCTGTGTAAAACATATGTGCAGTAAGTCAACAGACTGCATGCCGGCTAATTGCTTTAAAATAACATTATAGTAACCCGAAGCAATTTACAACTGCATAAGTGAGCCAAATGAACCTCACATGAACCTCGCATGTGAAAAGCTCGACAAAACGCCTGTCAGCGCTGGGCTTTGCTGACCACACTTTCCCGTGCACAGGAGCCAGCTGCGCCTTTGAGCTCTTCAAAAGTCTAATCCTGGAGCCTGTGTTGTCCCAACTTTCCCACAGCAGCTCTTCAATGGGGCCCAATAGAAGTGTGCCGCTCTCCCCAGCGCATTAGAAATGGGCTCTCAATGAGGCAACCATTCCCCCTGGGGTATACTGAGGAATGATTACTCCTAAAGAGCCACACTTAACTGTCCTAAAATACTCCTTGATCTTAAATATCAGGTGGGTACAGAACAAAGTAATACATAATAGAAATATGAATAGCCAACTTACAGCATGAAACAATGATATAAAACAAGCTAAAACTAAAAAATACTATGAACGGCTAAACATTTGGTCACATGTAAAATAATAATTTCAAATCTGGAAAATAAAAAAAACATGCATAACCATCTTAAATATACATATGTAAAATGACATTCCAACACATAAAATTAAAAAGAATAAATATCAGTGTTTATAGCTAACATTTATATATTTTCAATATGTAAATTGTCAGTTTGACATAAAACAATGATATTAAACAAATAAATACTATGAATGGCTAAACATTTGGTCACTGTAAAATAATTAGAAATAGAATAGAAATTTGGAAAATAAATAATATATGTACAGCAGCTTGGTAACACTTTACAATAAGGTTCATTAGTTAACATTAGTTAACTGCTTTAGTTAACATGAACTAAGAATGAACAATACTTCTACAGCATTTATTAATCTTAGTTCATGTTAATTTCAACATTTACTAATGCATTATTAAAATTAAGAGTGTTGGACAAGGGGGCGCCCACATTCAAAGACCCTTTTGCAGAGCAGGATGGAAAGTATTGAGGCTTTACCAGTCAATTTTGGCGGGAGATGGGAATTGGTGTGGGAACGGAATTCGGGGTTAACTAAACCAAAGCACCTCCTGATAGACTCAGAAAACAAGAGATGCACTTGTTCATAGATCAGTTGCTGCAATGAAGAAGAATATTTTGCATTTCTCACACTCTTAAAAATAAAGATTCTTTACTGGCATCGAAGGTTCCATGAAGAAACTTTAACATCCATGGAACATTTCCACTGGACGAAAGGTTCTTTATAGTGGGAAAAGGTCCTTTAGATTATTAAAATGTTCTTTACACTAAGAAAAATGGGTTCTTTTAAGAATTATTCACTGAAAGGTTATTTGGGAAACCAAAAATGGTTCTTCTAGCATTACTGCAAAAACACCCTTTTGGGACCTTTATTATTAAGAGTTCCATTTTACAAAAGGTTCTTTGTAGTGAAAAAAGGTCATTTTTAAAATATACTCAAGACTAAGGTTCTTTATGGTTATTTTACGTTTTCTTTTCTTTTAACTCTTTC